CATCCATTCATCAACAGTTGCTTGTTACCACATATTCTAATCTGATTTGGATCCCAGTATGGACTAATATTATCAAGATCTCTCTGATAAAGAGTTGGTCTTGAATTCCCAAGAACTCCCAAGTTCAGCTGTTAGCAGATTTTGCTGGTCTTCAAATCTCAGAACCATCCTTTGCAGACAAATGAACTCTTATAAGTTTTACTCTGTCTGAAACAGCCCATAAATTATGGACTTGCACAATTGAAACAGTACAAAAAAGATACAAGAATATTGGTCCAATCAGATATTGGCTTATCCAGGTTTGGTCCGAATTCAGATTTTCTTAACCTGACTCAGTGTAGCAGGTCAGGCAGCACCAAATATGCTATAATATGTGATGTTCATGCAATACACATATGATGAAGCTTTGCTTTTCATGTTGTAGCATCATCTGGTACTGTCCAGCAAATGTAATGATGTTAATAGTAAGGGAGACAATCAACCTAAAAGTTTAAACAGCACAGTATATTAAAAAATTTCAGATAATTGGCTGCATTTTTTTTTTAAAAAAAAGCTGAAGGATGACAAATATAGTCATTGGACAAATATTCTGTTTATATGAAAATTGCTTATGTCATTCTCAAAGATGCTGCCATGATCTGGGATTGGCAGAATCAGTCTGAGGTATTTCAGATCTGATTTTGATCAGACGTAGAATATAGACTTGTGTTATGAAGTTTTTAGACAAGTTGGATAGTGAGAGTACCTGAGCTTGTTACCACTCTGGACAAGTGTTGTTAGTCCATGTTTGACCAAACCGGGATTATAACCATGTATCATATAAGATATGACCAGTTTTCTTAAAGAGCAAGATCCTTGTGATGAAGTGATCGTGTTTCTGAGTTTCTGAGCTTATTACTGCAGACTGCACTTTTGATCCACTTTTAAAAAAAAACTTAGTAAATAGGCCTATGTTTTCTAGATGTGCTGTAAGGTTGATTGTGAGCAAGAGCCTTATATTCTAATGAAGTGATTTTGCATTGAGTTTTTATTTCTGACCCCATTTTAGTTCAAATTGGTAGATAGGTTACTATCATCAAGACGTTTGAGGAGTTGCATAATAGTGAGGTTATCTTTCAATGGATGGTCTGAAATAGTTAGCACTGGAGAGTGCATTTATGATATTTTGATTAGACTTAATGGGCCTTTCTTTATGGTCTTAGATGAATACAATCAGTGGTGAAATACATGCATAAAAATGAGACAGTCTTGCACCTGGTTGGTGGAGATCAGTCTATCAATTCTATATATTTGATTGGATTTTCATCAGGTTTCTTTTATAGTCTTATGTTATTCAGATTTTGATCAGACTTATTAAATAGTCTTATGTCATTTAGATTTTAATCAGGCTTGTTAAATAATCTATGTCATTCAGATTGTAATCAGGCTTGTTAAGTCATTCAAGTTTTTATCAGGCTTGTTAAATAGTCAGACCTGTTAAATAGTCTTATAACATTTAAGTTTTTATCAGACTTGTTAAATAGTCTTATATTTTTCAGATTTTGATCAGGCTTGTCAAATAGACTTGTTAAATAGTCTTATGTCATTCAGATTTTAATAGTCTTGTGTCATTCTAGTTTTGGATAAATTTTTTTACAGACCCTGACAGAGGTATTTTTTGTTTAAAAATTTTGTTCATTTGGAATGCATTTACCAAATTCAAGATTTCTGTTTCCAATAGTATTAAATGAAAAGAAATATTGCCTGCATATTGTCTTATTCAAAGGGTTATTTAGTAGAACAGAACATGCATACAATTAAAAAAACAGCTTTGAATTTACTACAAATGAATATATGATAGCTGTAAAATGTAAAAAATTAGTAGCATAATTGGAGACAAACTTTATTATTTCAGTCTATTCAAATAAAAATTTCACATTTCATTTGCACTTATTCAGCACTCTGTTTACATTCTGTTTTTTTCACTTCACTGACAATTTCTATTTTGGGGTCTGTATGATTTACACACATCTATCATGTATTGACCAAATGTTTAAGCCTCAGGAGACTTTATTCCATAACCATTGGATTTTGCTCAAACTTGGTAAACAATCTTGCATCATCATCTTATAATGAGGTGATCATGTATTTGATTTGCGGAGCTTGTTATCTCCCCAAAGATGATATCTCTCATCCATTTTTGATAAGACTTTGTAAAAAGGCTTGTATCCTCAAGATCTTGGATGAGTTCTGTTATAACCATGATCTACGCATATTAATGAGGGCTTTTATGATTGAAAATAATTTAATTTTAATAGACTATAAACAGATTTTGTTGACCCATAGAGGATTGAACATAGTTTAAAATAGGGCTGTGTTCTTGTAATATTATATAAGCTTGCTTAATGAAATGGTCAACTGTCAAGTTATGCAAGCCATACCAGTCCTATTTGGGCTCTTTGTTTTATACTACATACCCAGTTTTTGCTTTAAATGGGCATCTTTACTCAGCCACACCCATATATATCCATTTTTAGTAAGTAGGATCGAAAGAGGAGGCATGTGTAGAGGTTTGGGGCATATTATTCCCAGTTATTTAGTTTAATCTTGCTTTTAGATTGCTTTTGTAGTCTACACCCTGTGTAAGAAAGTATAAAAGGCACATTCAATAATTTCTGTCACTGAAAAGTTCTAATAAATATCTTGTTCCAATAATTTAAATGTTCTTTTATGTAAACTGTACCATTAACAACCATTAACTGTTTCATCATGACCCTATTTTTACTGAACTGTAAAGTCATACACAACTCTAAAGAACATTTAAGATTGCACTGAGAACTATATGATTTAAATTACAATAAGATACACAGTTCACAAAATATTACTAGTCAACATTTTGCCATTCAAGGCAAAAATCTAGATCAGAGAAAAAATGGTTAGTTTGCTGAAATAAGAATGTTGGTGGCTAGAAAATTCAGAAATTAGCTAAAGTATTGAAGAAATTATACTAATCATTATGGAAATCACATGAAAAATTCAGTTATAGACAAGATGAAATATATTTAATACTCAATCAGAACAAGCAGATTGTCTGTTTATTTTACACTCAGACATATTGACCAGCAATATTTATATAATAGTTTGAAATTGTATATTTCTTGTGATATCTTGAGCAATAAAAAAAAAGCAATAATGTAAGCTGTTTAGTATTTATCTTCTAGTGTGTTTGTGTATATTTGCACAGAAATATAACTAGAAATATAATTTCCTTTCCTAATTCAAGGTAAAAAAAACATTTAACAAAAATTTAAGAAAACCACATGTTAAGCACTTTTGGGATTCAAACCTGGTTCTCTGACATGATAGCTGACCGCATCACTTGACCATGCAGATGTCAAAATGGTCATCATGTTATTTGTGTTTGTTGAATGCAGAGAAAATTCATTTCAATGAATTATCAAATTTATTTCTCTTGGAAAATCCAGTATATCACAGTGTATCATAAAATATATAATCCTGCCCAGGCTGAATAAAAGAATAGCAGGCTGCTAGTATAACTCTTCTTGAACCTTTAATTTTCTGTGTTAAAGTGTCAAAAGGGTTGAAATAAATCATTCCATGAAAATATATTTTAGAAACTGAGTGAAAAAGTTTAAAATTGTGTTTTGTAACAGTGAGTGAATAATATGAAGGCATGTAATCAATATTGTAACAAGGTTGCCCCTTTTTTTTTATATATTATTAACCTTCATGACAAAAATTATGGAATGCTGCTCATATCTATTTGAAACTGTGAAGGCATCCTTGGTTTATCCATTTCATTTGCTCTCATGTGGATTCAGCATATGGTATGCTCTTGTATCCATTATTCATCAGCAGTCATATGTCATGCATTTTCACTATGTTTCTATGATGCAATATTAAATATTTAGCTTAGATTTTATATGATTGTTTTGGCCTTCTTTGCAGTCATTTGGTTTCCATAGCAACAAAAAACAAAAGACATGTGCAAAGTATCTCATATTACTGATCACTGCCATCTCACCTCAGTCCAAGTCTCAAACTCAGCCAATATGTCTATTTGAGAAGGTTTGTCACTAACTTCCCATAGGTCAGTGGTTTTTCAGGGGTTTTTCCTGGATTCTTCCCTGACCAGATAAACTGGCTGTCATGTATACCTTCACCTGTTCTGAATAATGGCATTAAAACCAAAACAAAATCAAATTGGTTTGGCAAAGAGAAATTAAATTTGGTAGGAAGTTTTCCCATGTAGATGATGAGACTTCCAGACTTTTGTACACATTGTTTGTTACCAAAGATAGTTTCTTACACTGCTGTGCAACCAAATTAGTATTTTGTAACATTTTATAATTATCTTAATCACAAACTTAGGTTTTCTTTATTCATTTATGGCCTCCATGGAACTTTTGTTTACATAATCATTAAACACTGGTATATGTCCACTCTTGCTGATGAATTATAAGTGTTTGCCATAGATAAATTTTGAAAACATCCTACTTTAGTTGAACCATTTTTCAAATATTAAATATATTGATCCATAGTTTTTTTTACAAATCTCACAAATATTTTTTATTTTCTGCCTTTTAACCAGTTGAAGCAACATGTTGCAATTTTCTTATCACAGGGATATATTCTATTTTCTTACTAAATTTTGTCCTTGCATCATCATGGATGCATATTTTGCAATTAGTGGCTTCATCTTAATTACCAGCAATAATGGTCATTAGTAGTTTAAATTCATCAGGAAATTTTGTCTGGCAAGTTACTGTGCTTTCATTTATTGTCATGGTTTTGCATGAAAAAAATTACTTTTTATGGTATGTAAATTCATAGATTTGCCTGTCAAAGTTTGCATATTTGTAGGTATTTAATTTCATGGATTAGCCTTCCAAAGTAAGGAATGCTAAATAAATTTATGTCAACATCAAATGACCGTTACTTAAGTAGTTAAAATGCCACCTGTACAAGTACAAATTAAACACCTGTCAAGATTACCACTCCAGTGGCCTAGTGGTTAGAGCATTTGCCTCATATGCAGGAGGCTGCATGTTCGAACCCTGGTCAGATCATACGAGAGACTTTAAAAAATGATACTTACAGCTGCCTTGCTTGGCGCTCAGCATTATGAGGTTAGTGTTAGGACTAGGTGGCCTGGTGTCAGGATAATGTGACTGGGTGGGATTTTATGCTACATGCCTCAGTGCTAGACATCACTATAAACTGTCACACTGCAGACATCGTAGTGATATGACTGAAAATTGTTAAAGCTACATTAAAATCTAAATCACACATACACACACACACCTGTTAAGATTAGTTACTTACACCATGTTTTAATTCAAGTATTTGACATTAAAAGGGAGCCCATGCAACAGAGAAAAGCCTGGTAATTGTGAAAAAAAATGATAAGAGTCGAGGGATGGACCAGAAATCCTCAGCCAACACTTGATAACAGAAAAATACATAATTGAAGTAACTGTGAGGTACATTTAGTTCTTACTAGAATTTTTGGATCATTTGTGTGCTTGCCATAAACATATTTGTTTAGCCAATCTAAGTGTGCACGTTATTGGATAAGTGAAGTGGACTGTTTACCCCTTGATATGCTCAATATCAGTGTCATTCTTTATGCAGAATACAAAAATTCAAGTCTAGCATCACACTGTGTTAACACATCATCTTTGACATGTGATCTTGGTAAATGTTAATGTATAATAAAATTTCTCTTCCCCATTTCCCCTTTTGAATGTGATGTTAATGCATTGTGATAAATGTTTGCTTATTATTTGGTAGTTTACACTGGGAACATTTTGTTAAGCATAATCATCAACATGTACCTTGCCTCTCCCCAACTTGCCTATGTATTGTATTGTACTGTTGGACCTCGCCAAATACAACAAAGCTTTTTTATTTTTGGAGCAGTTTTTAATGCAGAATGACATTGACTGCATTATATGTGGTCTATAGTCAAATTGCATGGAAAATAGTTGTTATGGCACCAACCATACTAGTCTGGTTAATCTGCCCCAAGCCTATACTGATCCTATGGGACAGCTTGGGGCTGATATCACAGGTTCAGTTGATTCGTGCAGTTGATGCAGATATTGTAGTCAATGTACATTTTAAACTCTTGACAGTGTTTCTCATGCCTTTTGAATTTATGGTATGTTCATGGGTCATTTTGGCGATATGTACATAATATTTCAAGATCAAATCCTACTTTTGACAACTTGTAAATTAACATGAACAACACAATGCTACCACCTGTGACAATTTTAAATCCCATGGTAGTTGATCCAGGACAGTCTCAGCCTTTGGCATTTACCATTGAGACTGCATAAGGTAAACTGTCTTCCCAACATACACTACACAACATCTGGTGCATGGGCTCACCACTTTCATTCCCAGTACTGTTTGACACTCAACACAACCAACAGAGACTGAAGTATATAAAGAACCCTCACAATATCCATTATCAAACTCAAGGACAGGTCCCAGTTTGATGATTTCCCATTTCCTGTCACTTGGTAGCCACCTTGAACTTTTGATGAAATTCAAAGTAAATGCCAGAGATCACCATGTACCAACATAACTGGACTCCAGTCTTGTTCTTCATCCTTGACTCCTGACATGCCAGCTAAGTCATTACTAACATTGCAGGAGGTCTGACCTCATATTTTGGAGAGACACATTTACAAGCCCCAGCTTCTATGCTCAATCCAGCAATGTCCAAGGAAGACTTAGCCTGACCCCCATCCACTGAAGAATTCTTCAAGCTCCTGCCTCCTGACTTGTGTCATTGTCCTCCTGTTCCTCCAGTGGCCTTTTACAGGATTCATGCATCTGTTGACCTTGAATCCTAAAAGACTATCCCACTTTTTTTGAATTACCACAGCTGGTCAGACTGCTGCTATTTTACACTGCTTTGAAAGGCAACTTCAAGACCCAAGTGTCTGCAAGCCACTGTTTTCACAATGACCATTCACATTTAACTCAGATTCAGCTTTCTACAAAACAAACCTGCTGGTTTTCAACTCCCAAGTTCAGCTGTTAGCAGATTTTGCTGGTCTTCAAATCTCAAAACCATCCTTTGCAGACAAATGAACTCTTATAAGTTTTACTCTGTCTGAAACAGCCCATAAATTATGGACTTGCACAATTGAAACAGTACAAAAAAGATACAAGAATATTGGTCCAATCAGATATTGGCTTATCCAGGTTTGGTCCGAATTCAGATTTTCTTAACCTGACTCAGTGTAGCAGGTCAGGCAGCACCAAATATGCTATAATATGTGATGTTCATGCAATACACATATGATGAAGCTTTGCTTTTCATGTTGTAGCATCATCTGGTACTGTCCAGCAAATGTAAAGATGTTAATAGTAAGGGAGACAATCAACCTAAAAGTTTAAACAGCACAGTATATTAAAAAATTTCAGATAATTGGCTGCATTTTTTTTTTAAAGCTGAAGGGTGACAAATATTGTCATTGAACAAATGTTCTGTTTATATGAAAATTGCTTATGTCATTCTCAGAGATGCTGCCATGATGTGGGATCATTAGTTTCTCACAAAAATGATCAAGAGTCAAGCAATTTTTAAAACCCAGTGGGATAAAGATTGTGCAAGTTATTCTTCATTTCCTCTCTTTCCAAATGAGCAGGTTTTTTTATACCCAGTAAGTGGGATCCTGAGTGGATGAAGTGCTGATCATTGCGCATTACTGCCATCTCACCTCTGTTGGCATTGGTTCTATTCTCGGATTCAGCCAAGTGGGTATGTGAGAAAGCTGGCCAGTACCTTCTTGTGGATCAGTGGTTCTTTCCTGGGTTTTCCCGTGTTCTTCCTCCATTAATACTATCTGTCATGTGTAACCTATCTTGTGCTGAAAAATAGCATTAAACTCTACAACAACAACAACAATATATCCAATGAGCAATTCGTTTTATGTTTTATATTTTAATGAGGTAGATCAGATTATGGTCTTTCTTTTTTGTTGCCTTGTCTCCATAATCTAATCTTGTATCCATAGAGAATATTGTTTGAATACAAGCACCAATATGATGGAGATGATCTATTGGAGTATTGCTGATTGAATTGTTTCCTGGAGTATAGTAAATTGATCCATCATTCAACGATTCAGGATGTGTGTAAAGCACAATAGCAGTATGTAATAAAAAGAGCTTACTGAGCACAGCACAGAAAGTGGTTATATAGAAGAAACCATCATGTTGTTATTTACTATGGTTTAGGCCTTGCAGAAAATCTGATAAATCATCAGAAATATCAAGGAAACAAACATGCATGAATTGGGGACATTTTAATTTTGATACATATCCTGAAAACAAGTTCCCTGATCTATTCATACTGACTATATTTGAAGTGGTTCTGCCTTTATAAGAAGCTGATTGGGAAAAGGGGGTTCTGTTCTCAAAACAGAAATAACACTACTTTGAGAAATAGGGTAACCATAGACCTTTGAAACCCTATATCACTATAGCAGGGGTCAAGCTCGACTTAAATTGTAGGGAGAAGTGACTTCTTTTTGGTCAGAACAGAATGGAAGCTAAACCTAGAGAAGTGAGACCAAAGCAAGAAATGTGATATATATATAGCTGCATTATCTTATTTATGAGCTCCATTTCTCAGTATGCTTTTAACAGTTTTAAACAATGCATTATTTATTTTCAAGTTTAAAAATATATCATGTTTATTATCATGTTTATTATCAACCCATTTTGTACATGTATACAAATGATTATATTCATATCCATTCTCTATTCATACTTGTATTATTATGTGTTTTGATTGAGATACAAGCACATTGGCCATATGACTTAAAAGGCACAACAGAAGCTATACATTGTAATTAATTTTAACTGAAATCTGTAACACAATTAGAGTCATGTAATTGCAAGTTGGTAAAAATGCTTGATAAACTACCACTTAATTATTTTATTGTTTTGTAAAATTGCAGTCAAAAACAAAAAAGATTTCTAGCATTTTTTTAAAACAACTCTTAATTCATGTACATAGGAATAAATGCACAAGTGACTTCAAAACATACTCTTTGTCCTGATCTCCTTGTTCCCAATAAAACATTACTGTAACTATTCATAGACAGCAAACAGAAGAACTAAAATAAATAAATAACTGAACTGGACCCTTTTTCACTTAAAACCAAAACATCCAAGAACACATATTGCACCAACCGAGTCCATCTATTTTTATAAAGAGGGTTTCTCTTTTCAAAACTATTAACTTTCTTACAAAAAATTCAATAATAGGACTACATATTTATGGTTGAATTACTTGTTTACCTATTGGTATTAATGATATAAATCGGTTAAATAGTATTTACTTCACTACTATATATATCTCGTAATTTTGCAATAATAAATTACAATAGGGCAGGAAGCAACTTTTGACCTTGCAGCATTGTTTCGAATTCAACAAGAGATTGTCATGTGATTTTGACCTTCATTATTAAATATTTAGGCTAAATCTCCTATGACATAATATTTAAACTTTGTTTTCATTATATTATGTATTTTTCTGAATCTATTTGCCCAATTATTTACAAATACATACAGTTTAATGATGTGTTATATCATATATATAGCAATGTCTGCCATTACAAATTCATTTACGGTTTCAAACTGATTTTATCAAGAAAATACATAAATATGTCCGTTAAAATCTCCATTTATAAAAACAAGAAATACATTTGAAAACACTCTTCGCTGACCACATTTTTTAAAAGCAAATTACTATTTATATATTGATGCATTTCACCTTGGATTACATCAGTGCAAGAACTTACTGCCTACTGCAAGGGGGGAATCTCCAAAGTCCTTATCTATAGCCATTTTATATCTGAAAAATCTAGGGTGAAGTCATTTTCGCTTTTCTAACAGAATAAGGCGAAGTTTCCATTCTTCGGTGACCTTTATCGCTCACTTTGCCTGAACCTTCAAAAAAGGCATGAGACATTAACGGTTCTTCTGGTCATATGTGGGATAGCTTGTTGTCAGTCATCCTTCTGTCGATTAGAATAAATTTGTTATTGCAGC